TCGCCAGCGCGGTGGCGGCAGCGGCAGCGGCAGTGGCAGTGGCAGTGGCAATAGCAATGGCAATGGCAGTGGACTTGGACTCGAGCGTCATCCGCATTGCGTTGCGCGTTGTGCGAATCCTAAGTAAGTGGGACAGTCGCATCCTTCCAGATACTACACTACCTATCCAGTACTACTATCTACTGCTTGTGTACAAGCGTGCACAGCGTACGTTCGCGCACGCCAATTTCTATTTCTCGAAACCTCCTCGACTCTACGAACTAATTTTATTTACGGCTGCTTCCCACTACCTTCTAATTACTCCGCTTCAACAACTGATTGATTATTACGAACACCTCTCGGTATTCAATTTTATGCATCTGCTCGAGAAATTAAAAATGCACCAATATATTGAGGCATAAACGATACAGACTCGAAAGTTTTTCGAATTAGCTAATAGGTACTTAATAGTGCATAAATTATTTAATGAATATTTGAGAATCGAAGATAAATAAATAACTTCTGGGTGTCCAAGAAACACTTGAATGTAAAATTTCTGTGTTAAGATATTTCAGAAGAAGTGGTTTGATTTAGAAAATAATTTTCAATTAAAATTTTAAAGAAGTCCTTTGGTCCGTTTGCTAAAAATAATGTTAATTTCAAATTTGAATAGGTGTCTTTCGCGACCCGTTTGTTAAAGGTGTTGTTGATTAATTTGTTCCTGAGCGATTGCGGCGTGTAAAATTATGTGCCGATAAGAAATTAAAGAGTAACTTAATGGTATATAAATTGTTTAATGGATATTTAAACATCGGAGATGAATAATCAATTTGTACTGGAATTTCGATTTTCTGCGTTTAACAGAAAATAACTAAAGAAAAAACCTTAAATACAGGATGTCTCGCATTTTTCCGTACAAGTAGAAATAACACTAAAGTGTTGTATAATAAAAAGTTCATAAATGATTGGTTAAGGTTATATTGAATAATGACAAAAATAAGAAATGTGAAATATACGATAACGCTAACGTCCGAGAGTCAAATTAATTGCAAAAATCAATATCGCCTGCGAAGAGATAAGACAAAATCGCAATCAACTGAAATCAACAATAAATTCAATAACTCGTCGAACTCGATAAATTCAATAAATTCAATAATTCGATGTCAAATTTATGTCAACAAAGACGGACTTCACTTTGAAATGGAAATATAAGTACTATATTTAGCAACGTTTAAATCATATTTTGTACTCTTATCATAAATTCTTAACAAAGAATTTATTATGTTATATAACATTTTAGTCTTATTTTTAGTTATAGGACACACTGTTGATATACAGAAAAATGCGTGACACCCTGTATAAAATTACTGCCTCAACTTTGTATTTACCGTCAGTGTAACCATAATAAACCTTAATAGTTCTTCAGTTCCTCAATAATCATTACAAATCAAAGGTAAATGATTTTACTCGATAAACAAAAACGGTTAAATATAAAATTGTCTTGTAAATAAAATATCGTGTCNTATAGGACACACTGTTGATATACAGAAAAATGCGTGACACCCTGTATAAAATTACTGCCTCAACTTTGTATTTACCGTCAGTGTAACCATAATAAACCTTAATAGTTCTTCAGTTCCTCAATAATCATTACAAATCAAAGGTAAATGATTTTACTCGATAAACAAAAACGGTTAAATATAAAATTGTCTTGTAAATAAAATATCGTGTC